AACTCGTCAAAGTTCAAGAGAAGTGGAGGAAGCTGCCCTTGTAGACACTGCATTCAATGACTGATTCCTTACTTAGGCCTTGTTAGTATTTCAGCGCGTACCCAGAAGATCATTAACAAAGTATTGGACCTGCCCAGTGTTATTCATCATGCGTAAGATTGTTTTGTTGAATTGTAAGCTTGCTAGAGTAATTTGAAACCTACTTGGAATTTGCTCATACGCGAGAATTTCTAGTGAAATGATTTTTTCCATTCTTAATTCTTTCTCAATCCGAAACAAATATGCCGTTTAAGTGAAGTAGGACTATCTCTAAAACATATTAAAATTTGAATTGATTTGATTCAGCGGAAAAAAAGTTACAGTCGAAAAACAATTTCGGCGAAGACTTTTGACCGCTACTGTATATTGGCATGGCTAGAACATGTATTAAACCCCCCAATCATGAACTTTGGGTAGCAAGTTGGTAACTTTTCCAACTACATCATGAGATTAGGACTTCTTCTCTGTTCGCGATTAGATTCAATGGATCAATCCCCCCGTTATTTAGGCGATATAGGTAGTCTCTAATTGAATAGGAGATGACTATTGTACATCGACAGCCATGCGTACCTTACAGTCGTAGAAAACGTCGAATTACTGCCGGAGTTCTTTTATTAGTAAGATTCATCTGATCCCACCCTATTTCTTGGTTCTCGAGGTTGAGAATTCACTGCAAGACGCTCAGCGCTCGAGTGTTTCCAGCCGTCTGGCATGACACCTCGACCCGTTGTCATGCTCATCTCCCGTTTGTTTTCCAAGTTCACGATGAATGGGCGCGCAGTCTTAGCGGGGCTCACCCCATGGATCGGGACACTCGGTGACGTGTTAGGCGGCTGTCTATGTCCGAGCATTGGACAGTGTTTCATTGTGTAGATGGCTGCAGTGTACGCAAACAGATACGATAAGTTACGCAGTGACTGCGAGAAGTTGATCTGTCTCGCAAACACGATGAAAGAAGATCGCATTCGCGAGTCGCACTGCGCATCCAAGGCAAATAAATAGCCAATGCCATTCACTGAGTTCGATCGTGGTTGATGGATATACTACTCAATCTGCTCGGGTCGAACGAAAGTCCTCACAAATTCGGAGTTCAGAAAGAAATAAGGATGTGTGCAATGAAACTTCTCCCTCCTCGTGAAGATGAGTAACGGATGATCGCTAGAAATAGTGCATAAATTCTCATGCATGAGAATTCTTACACCGAGAAAAATCAGAGTTCGAGAACTCACTTTGCAGACACTTCACAAATGTTAGGCGTAGCGAAAGGGCTCATTTTGCCACGACGACACTCCAAGGAATGAATTCCCGCGATTAATATTTGTGACAATCCAACGTCGAGAATATTGAGTAGCAACATCCTCTTGAGTTCCGTAGATTGTTTACCAGAAAACTCTAATTTTTTTCTTCCTTGTCGCTCTTACTATGTGTAGAATGAGCCTTGAGACATCGGTTCACAGAGTACACAAAATCACGCGGTTTTTGGTGCCTTCAGTACCCGAAGGTTCTATTCCGCTTTTTCTGGGCAATTTGCGTAGCAGAGAGAAAGATTGGTCCACCTCTTGCTGGAACTGACTGAAATCATTAGATTTCATTTCCCTCTTCACAAATAAATTACTTCACGGTACCAACGGCTCAACATCGGAAAGAAAGGCATTCGACTTTTCTGAATTTATACCAGTCAAATTTGCTATTAGTGTAACTCAGGTGATATTCGAAACTACATAATAACTGAAACCACAAAGAGTGCAACGGCAGCCTCTACAAGCACGAAATGGACTGTTTTCACAGCCTCCCTGTGTGCAAGCTAGATGTTAAAGGAATCTGCCCACTGAAAGAGTGATCATTATTCGTGTTAGATAGTATTATCGAAACTAAAGCGTATGTTCGTTGCTTTAGCTACGGTCTCTCTGATCTAGGCCTAAGTACCGTTTTTTTCTGGGTAATTTAGGCGGAGCTTTGTTTCCGCGAATTTCCTTTAAGACTGCTTGTGCAAGTCCAACAGCAAGTGAAGAAGGTGAAAATTTCTTTAAGAGCTGCTCGTGCAATTCAACAGCAAGTAAAAAAGGCAGTCCTAGCGATTTGGGTGGTTACTACTATCCCGTAGTAACATGGTAAATGTTCATTGAAGCTGAACGAAATTAATTTTTCAGTAGGAAATTCAAGAGCTGGGGAGTCCAAAGGAGTTCAACTGTTGTCCTGCAATTTTTTGGTGTTTGTTTTGCCAAAACTATGTATTCACACCATGTACAACAGGGCATTTTGTGGTATTAGCTTTCTCTTATTTGCCTTCCTGGAACGGAAAAGTTGCTTGTTTTTGCTTATTGCACTTTTAGGATACTGTTACAGGTGAAAAAGAGGTGGAATAGTGCCCCACTATTTTTGAATATCGGAGTACAATGAGTTTGCAGAAACCATTGAGATGATCACATTCATAATAGTTGTTATCAAAATTCGCTAGTTGTTTTTTTTTACAACGGCAGAGCATTTTCAGCTGTCGGCGTTGACAACGTTTTCATACTTCTATCGGCATGGCGGTCGTCTCCAACACACCAATCGCTTCAAAAACGGATGGAGGAGACGTTTGCTGACGCTGGCGTCTCCATCACAGTGACCTCCCTTACGGACTTCATCTCCTTTGCCGTTGGTTGCGCGACACCATTTCCAAGTGTTCAGGTTGGGCGCTTTCTGGAAGTTCAACTCGTGAGGCTGAAACTGAGATTTGCTCTTCTTTCAGATGTTTTGTGCGTATGCGGTGACAGCAGTGATGTTCACATACGTCTATCAGCTCACTTTCTTCGCTGGTATCATGGTCTACACGAATCGTCGCGAAATGGACAACAGAAACTGCATCACTTTCAGAAAGATCAAAAAGGGTTTGTTGTTTTCTGGAGTTACATCGCACAGATTCTATGATAGACATAGTTTTCAGAAGGATCGAAGAGTGCATATGAAGATCGAAGTTTTGAGAAGAATCATTTACTTTCGCAGTTCTTCCGCACCACCTACTCAGACATGCTTTTGAACCCTTCGTACGTGTGCTCATCATCATTGCCTTTCTCATCTACCTGGTAAGCTTCGAGACTCCTATTCTTCCTATCTAATCATAATTCACTTTTAAACTATTGTAGGGAGTAGCGATATGGGGCTCATATTGCGGAAGCAAACACTCCGTCTCGCCGAGAAGTATTTCGCTGGTGACAACTTCAGCTTAAATATTACCGGAATATATCGAAGAAAACGTCATTATCTCAGTAATAATGCAAAAATCGAAATTCCTAGAGAGTCCATCTTACTGATCCTACTATCAAGCTGCATTGACAGTAGTGATTTGCCTGAAGTCCCATCCTTGTACTCGCCTAAATTGAAATCCATTTTCAACATACAAAAATTCATGTACCGAGAAATGGCCGTGAGATTACCATGACCATCCCTTGATGAAGTCACGGTTATGTTCCCCTTGAAGCGCTCATTTCAATTTTGCTAAAAGATCCTCCGCGGATATGAAGCCGAGGGGAGCAGTGGTGGTTACCCGGGCTCTTCAGACAGAACTTCGTATGATCGATTCCTTCGTAAGTTGAAAATCTCAAATCCGGGCACATGACGACATCCAACCGCAGCAATAGTTTGACCCTCTGGTTACAAAAATCACCCTTCTTCGGTACAGAACCTCCTGGCACCTGCGCTTCGTACATTGAAGGCAGTCCTGAGTAGGCTGCTTATCATGGCTAACCATTTGTTCTGCACAGCTTTCATGTATGGGCACACCTTAGGAAGTTTGCATAATATGACATTCGATAAACATCCTTCATCCGTTCAAAAAAAAACGAAATTGCGATTGCCGACCGACATAAGATTTTTTCCAATACACCCCTGAATCCACAAATCTGTCAACTGCGTCATATCTCTACGTCCCGCCCAGGCCCTTAGCCCTATATACAGGGCAACACGGGAAAACACCTTCATGACTCACTTCAAAGAGTTATTATTAACCGAACAGGTTTTGTATGGTGCATTTATTTAGCCCGATCCGTCTCTTCAGAATATAATTAAGCAGGTCTCGAGTTGAGATTTGAGACCCGAATTCTGAAGCATATACAAGTACACATCTCAACTGTATGGAGACTATGGCTGACATGAGGCGCTTTCCTTGGTAAAGCTAGACATCTTCGGTAGATCGAGCGCTTATAAAGGCTGCAATCAGTCGATCATACCTTCAGTGAAAGGACGATTTTTAAGCTTCAAACGCTGCGAAATGCTACGACAGAAATGCTGTGGAGAGAGCATTAACCACCGCTCACATGCGTTTAACAGTGAATGTTTCAAAACGATCCCAAAAGATTTTGCAAGGTGAACAAGAAAATGCGCAAGAACTTTTCCCACAACCTAATATATCAGGCGAGTATCAGGAGTCTGTAAACGCCAATAATCTTTTTTTTCACATTAATAGATTGAATAGATAGGTTTTTTTTTTTTCAAAATGTGATCCATCAGTAGTTTCTTCCATGTTCGTTCACCAAGAATTCCTGTGCGTCGAGAGTAGCAGTGTATTGCAGACTACGGTAGTAATCTCCACGTATGGATGTACAATCTGTCAAATGTCGATATTGGTCCAAGACGTATTTGGACGGTGTTGGACAAGGAAATAGAACTCTACGAGCACACTGAGTTCACAGGAGCTGCTGATTCGTGGTGAGTAGCCGATATATCTGTTATTAACGTTTCTCTCCTCCCTGGGTTGTTATTACTACAGAAGTAGATTTTCTTAGTATCTCATATTATGTAAATCACTACGTTTGCGTGTCCATTTTTCGGTCAGTATTTTCTATCAATTTGGCCTGCGAAATAACGGTATGTAGAAAGTGTGAGATGGACCTACTCCTAACAAAACTGGGGCCCCTATGTACATGGGATTGCTATTATGTCATGCTGTGATTGTGGAAGCACCCCCTACCACCTAAGACAGCGATTGAGCAACTCGGCCGATCATAATAGACCAGCTTATCTCATTCTCCACTGGCTCATAGGTCGAAATCATTCCCTGTTATTTATTGTTAACCATTACCTCGTTTTTTAATAGTGACAATAAAACTATGCAGCTTAGCATCACGTCGCATTATAGACATTCCTAGATTTCACGATAGTTTTTTATAACCAATCAGCAGAACCGAGGTGTTAAAGGGGTTTAGAGGGGACGTGAGGGTCTCAATAGTACGCCAATGGCGAAAAAAGCAAAGAAATCCGTCAAAAATAAGCAAAATGGTACCCCTTTGATTGCCCTTTCATTTTCGACCATGGATGAGCGACGGTAAAGAACTGACGTTGTTCGGACGTGTTAACCCCGATAGCCGCCATCATGCCAACAAGCATAGTGTTTTGATTGATAAGGCATTACATGGGCAAGTTGGAAGATACAGCCGCTAAAAGGGAAACGATCTTCCAAAATGAAAAGCCAACAGCAGACAGCTCGCCCAAGTCATCATCTGAGAACAAGGTGCGCGTATCCGCTGACTGACAGGCGAGGAAAGTGCCTGACGATAGTCCGTTAGCCAACCACAGCACTTTTTGCCGTGGAAGCGCCACACATCGCTTGGCAGCCAAGTAATTGCTGCGTGTGGCGCACGTCCTCCCCCGATGCGAAAACTCCTTATCGTAATCGCTTCCTTTAAACTCAGCAGAAGTGCAGAAGAAACCAGAGGAACTGTCAAAAACCCAAGGAGTGGACCCCTATACTGGTAGTTGATTGTGGGAGTGTGTGTAGCTGAGTGGCAGCATTTGTAGGTAAGGATACCCCAATAGAAGAAATAACAGGACAAGATTTAAATTCATAGCTTTTTGGAAGTGCGCTTTAAAATGTAGTGCATTACTGGGCCGGTGGAATCGGTTCCCTTGCCGTCCAGCTTTCACTGGCTCGTCCACCTTCACGTCCCGTGCGCTACGGAACTGTGAACTCAACACGTTCAAAGTGCAAAATGTTCACGAGATGTTCCTTTGATTTCAGGTTGCGTACTTACCTTGCTTTCACCAAACAGTCTGGATTGCTCATTACTCAGGATAATTTTGTTTACATTCTCAGGAATGTGTTCTTGTCACAACCACAATTCGGAAAATACCGGCGGTGAGTACTATTCGAGAATCGATGAAGAGAATTTGCCGAAAAATTTTGTTGAAGAAATCTTGAAAAATAGTGACTTCACAAGCGAGGGTTGATTCCTCCCAAAACTTGCTACTTCAGTGATATTTTGTTCGACGCGAGCGGATCTTTGCTGGACGCCTCTCGAGTACCGATCCAGCTCCGTCATGTTGGATTTGCGAATCAAAGTCGAGCGATGCAGCTGTTCAGAAAACTGGCTGAGACTAGTAAGCTTCCGACCGGCGTCTATGCCGACTTCTTCCAGGTTGGTTGCAATCTGAATGTCTGTACACCCCTTGGTGTGAGGTGACACTCCAGCATAGCCGCAAGAATCGTGACCTTAGTTTTTTACATGAAAGTGCTTGGAGTTCGAATCCCCTCCGGAAAGGGAATAATGAAGAAATTTTCACAAGAATGCTGGGAGAATGCAAAACTTCCGCCCCAGACGGACTCGAACCCGCACATTTTGCTTACCGGGCAAGTGCGCTACTAGTTACCCTACACAGTGCTTACAAGCTATGGTAAGTGTACCATGAAAAGCTGAGTGGAATGAAATGGTGCCCCGGTAATGTAAGTGGTAGCCATTTTCTCGATATGTAAGAGGAGGTGGGTTCGAGTCCCGCCTGGGGCGA